ATCTGACCTACCAGTTGCTAAGATATCAAAATTGTCCCATTTAATATTATGACCCGTGGAAGTAACGTGATCCGCAATGGCTGAGGTGTGACCGCTTTTAGCAAGGGCCTTAAAATGTAATCTAGTTAACGGTCACTTCTGAAGATGTATGTTGTACATACGAAACGTCAAGAAAATTAACTTTGTTTAACATGCGTTTTGGTTCCATGTTTATCACCGCGGTTTGTGTTTTGTTTCTAGGAAAGTGTAGTCTTCGTTTTCAGAGTTGGATGGTAGTAAGGTCTTGTAAACTCATTACTACATCCCACACAAGTGAATAGTACGTTTTGTTAAGTTAACTCAGCGGTGATTACCCGGTGATTAAAGTACTATTAAATTCTGACCATTTGTCTGTTTATTGTCAGAAATACAGTAAATGCTTGGTCCGATCCTCTAGTTATTCAGCTCATGTGGTAAATACTAAAGCAATTATTCACGATGAAAGTGGTGGATCACTTCAGTAATTAGTCAGCGACCACCCCAAACCTGACGCAGACACTTTACCTGCGCGCTTTACATCACAAGTGCATAGATCATATCTGCCGAGATTACCCCCACAGTACCCAAGAACGACTGCTATACTAAGGGGAAAGAGGAAATACTTACAATTAATCTAAGAGGTGACTGAAAAAGTTGACGATGAGAGATGAAATGATCGAGCTGAAGTAACAGGATATGCGCCGCTTTGGTAAATACTTATATATGTTTTTGCGGAGCAGAAGGGAGGTTTCCATACAAACAATAAACAAATATTGGACGAGGTTGTCAATGGCGGGCAGATCAATTACTTGCCGATATTTTGCGATGACCGAGTTCGTTAATTGTTTTATCATTCAATCACCAAGTTTGTTTTCATATTTAAATCACTCTCTGACAACTCAAGGAAGTGATCTGCAATAGACCCCTTTAGCTTGGGCGGGTTTTTTTCCCATTGCAGACCACATGATGATGTTCTTGAGAATTCTTGCTTTCAAATTTTTAAATAGTCGCATGTGTTGAATAATTTTAAGATGCATAAAAGGAAAATTCTCTAGAAAATATCACGTGGTCTACAATGGGAAAACAAACCGCCCAAGCTAAAGAGGTCTATTTTTCACACAAGAGCGCGGTTACAATTGCGAATGAGCAGAATATTATTTGCAGCAAAAACACATTTAGAGGGTACTACGCATGAGCGGGCCATTATTTGTAGGCAGTCATTCGCAGGTCACGTGGTGGGCTTTCGGCCAATGAAAATGTATAAACATTAATTGATGATGTGATGTTTATGTCTAAGTCATGTTGCATTTAAAAACTGTGTCCCTTATCAAAAGTGTCTAGCATTTTTTTTCTTTCTCATACAAACCTGTGTAAAGGCTTTCTAAAATACAATAGAACTATCCTTTATTGTTCCTATTATTACTGATTAGCAGCAGTCCTCCTGCTGCTAAAGGCCAGCCGAACATTTCAGAGCCAAACGATTGAGTCAAACAAAGGCCTAACGGTTGGAAACCGAAAAAATTGCATAAAAATACGCGCTGTCTACACCATTTGTAAACGCAGAGTAAGGCATAACGTTCTTGCTTGCTTAGTTAGTCTTATGAAACAGCATGACACGGACAGACCCTGAAACAAAACGCTATTTTACAGGTGTTAGGCCACAAATATGACGCTAATTTTTTTTGACGCTGAATTGAATAACGATTAAAAAAGCGAGTAGGGCAGGTAGAAAATTATTTTATGCCAAAAAAAAAAAAAAAAACAGAACGAGAGAGAATTCATTGTTAGTACTCATGGGGAAACGTCATCCCATGATATTTTGATGACCAAAAGCTTTTTTCGTTTATTCAACTTGCTAATTATAAATGTTAGTTGCCCGCGAAAATTAGACTATAGAATCGCATTTCAGAGTGCAGAATTTTAATTGCTTTTTGGTCTAATTACAATCTTTGCATTGATCATCTTTAGTAATACTTAATATTTATATGACGTTTTATTCATAATTATTCTTGTTTCCATCTCTTGATATAAATCGTTTGGAAAGCAAACGCATAAACCGAGCATGAGTAGTGTGAAATTACAACGTCATAAAGCGTATACGTGACTAAAATTTATAATTTGAAAGGTTTTTCCTTTTTTTCTTTTCATAATATAAACGAAATTTCGTCACGATAACAGGACTTGGTAATGCAATCACTAAAACACCTGCTAAAGTGCTGAGAGCTCCTAAAACCTTTCCCATTATGGTAACAGGAACCATGTCTCCATAACCGACATTTGTTAACGATACTATAACAAACCAAGCTGAGGCAGGAATACTCGAAAATGAATCCTTCTGAGCTTCGTATTCAACGTAAAAGGTCCACCCAGAAAAGATTGCAGTGGTTATAAGAATGAAAAATAGAATCATACAGAGCTCTCGCCACGTCGAACGAACGGTTTTGACGAGGACTTTGAGTTCATCAAGGTGTCTGGCCAGTTTGAACAGTCTAGAAACTCTCAACAATCGAAACCCGTCAACGATTTCTTTCGCGTCAAAGTCGCGGTCTAGGGCCAGTTCGAAATAATACGGCACAATAGCGGCCAGGTCAATCAAGTTGAGGATGTCAAGCATGAATTTTAGCTTGTTCGGACACGAAACTAACCGCAGGAAGAATTCTAAGGTGAACCAAGCAACACAAATTAACTCCAGTACGTTGTTAAATTGAGCCAGTCCGTCGTCTCCGTATTGACTGGTTTCGGAATCTGCGGCAGTTTTGTCGTGATCTATTGTCTCAGCACACAGGACGTAGATTGAAATGGCGATAAAAGTGACAGAAAAAGTCGCAACAACTTTGGCAACTTTTGAACACTTGGGGTATTCGAACCAAAGCCAGATTTTCGCTAAAACCACGTTTGTTGGCAGAACAACTGGTTCGTCGTCATCGTCTTCAATGGCACCCTCGTCTCTCTTGAATTCGGTGAGAGTTTCTTCCTCAATTTGAAAAAATTTCAGTTCATCGCAGAATTCTTGCAACCTGACGTTGTTTGGTCTGGTGAGGAGACCATTCGATTGATAATAAAAAAGAATTGCGTCAAACGCATTTCGATTCCGATTAAAGAAATATTCCTGTCGCTCATTGTCGAAGTACTTCTTCCTTTTTGCGGGATTTCCTAGAAGGGTGTTTGGAAACCGCGCTAATGTGGAGTACAGTGTTTCGTACATTTTCCCACTTATGTTGATCTTCACCCGAGCGCTAAGTAGTCTTCTCTCCTCTGGATGTTGAGTTACTCGCAGAGAGCTTAGCCCAACTTCAGGACAACTGGCGCGGCGGTTGTAGTTTTTAGTGTATAACTTGGGTCCTACCTTCAATTCATTCGTAGCTCGGAGGGCAGATTTCATATCTCTAGAGTAGGGCTCCGATGTCGCGGTGAGCTTGTTTATATATGTTAGCATATCAGTAGCGCAGACTTACTATCTAAAGCCACATCTCGATTTCTGAACAGTTACACCAAACAACGCTTTTAAATTCGCGAGAAATTCACGGATGGCGTCGTTTGGGATAAACTCTTTAAAAGCGCTCCGCCTCCCACCATAAAGACGTGCGGTTCCGCTGAAGTGATCTGACAACTGATCCGCTCTCATTAATGATTTCAATTCTGTACCATATTTCCTCAACGCTGTGAATTATTTATTGTGTTGTTTGTATTTAGCATTTTTAGAATCCAAAATAAAGTCGCCCGCGTTGTCCTTGACTAATATGACACAGAGACGATAACGCGAAAACGCTATGTGAGTTGACTTTGAGAAAAATATATACACTGAAAATGACCGATTAATTGTAGCAGTTTCTTGGAAACAGTTGTATCTCACTGAAGCGATTAAAAACAATAATATCTTGGTGTAAAGACATATTAACGCATTCTGTTGTTATGATGCTGAAGTGAAAGGAAACAATGAAAGAAACACCAGTGAAAACAGAAGTGTCGACAGCAGAATTTTTAACAAGATGAAGACAAGTTCTTCGTAAGAGGCAATGCAAACACTCCCTTTTAATTAGTATTTCCGTATTTAGATCCACTTTTCACTATATTCTTAAAAAGCCTTTCGATCTGTTTCCATTGCAGTTGCAAGGTGTTAAGTTTCCAAAATCCAGCGAAAAAACAAATTAGGATTAAACTATGGGTTTTTGTAATATTAAAACTTGATTACTGTATTCTTTTGAACATTTACCGTTTTGCACCGAAGTAGTAATTAAAGCTTTGGAAGAATACACAGAAATAACTGAAGAAAATGTTGTATTGACTTCGGTATAACGTTTTATGTTATTGCAATTTACAAACAGGTGCATGCATATGTTGGAAAAAAATCATTATATTCATAATAAATTACAATATATTCGTTTTTCATAAACTGACTCTGTCGTGGACAATTGCGCTGGATTCGGAACAATAAAGCGATTTATCTCTGGTTTTGTGTTGTTTTTACGTGTTATCCAAGATTTGACTAGTTTTCACCGTTGTTTTTTTAAATATTATCGCCGCATGAGAACCTCGGTAATGTCTCATAAACTCGATTTTTGATAGGCAGATGTTTTTAAAAGCCGGTGTAGATATTGGTTATGTTAAATTGTCACAAACTCGACTAACCTCCGAACCTGTCACGGGAGAAAGCCGTACTGACCTGTTAGCTGGCTTACACTAGAATATTTAGCTCTATTACCCGGAAAAAGGAGAAAAATTGTGATGCTTTCCCAATTTGTGCACTGATTGCAATTTAATGAAGAATTAATTCATTGTTCCTCTGGTCATGGGACCAAAGAGCAGGATTCGTGTAATTTTGGCGCGCAATCACCTAGTTTACCGCATATTCTGATGGGAAGTCCTCATTTCTGTCAAACCCAGGCCTCCTCTCGATTGTGTACGGACATTTAATTCACTCGAGGGAAAGAAATATCCGAAAGCTGATCACAGTTATATCAGGTGCCATCTTAATGAATTTTTTTCAGGATGATGCTCAACAAAGTGAAAGAAGTTTTCAGACATGTGCTCGGAACGTAGACAATGTTAACTCTTGCGCACTCTTTGCTCGGTAAACTGTATGCAGATGATTCGTCAGAAAATCTCCTCCACTCATTTTGCTCCGTGATGCAGAACTATTCTATGTAGATAGCCTGGAATGACAAAAAATTACAATAAGGAACTAACAAATTAGAAAAATCCCCCGTCGCGGTTTCCGTCCTCCTTGATTCTTTGCACATTTGTTCAGTCAGTTTACGTTGTAGTTTGGCAAAGTCAGTTGTGAAATTAACCAAATTGCGTTTCCCGCCAAGTCAAAGTCTTCGATTTGCTATACTTTCTGCTCGTCAACGACGTTATCGGTGAAGTCATAATCGGTAAAGTTTGCCCAAACCCCTTGTTCAATGACAGTGAGTGGATTCTAAAGACACCATTTGTGAATACTTGCAACCAGTCCTTTCACAGTAAGTTTATTTTACAGGTATGACTGATTTTCGATCACCGTGTACTGAATATTGAACTACACTTTACACGCATGCAGCGAAAGTGGGGTTAAATGATAAACAAGATTATTTACAGTCGTAATAATAAATTAAAAAGTCTAAACTTTACTACAAGTCCATTGCTTCAATATTTCAAGCTCTCTAAAATCTATAAATTAGGTAAATAAATATCGAGTTTTCGAATTAAAACTCGAACGTTCGGGTAAAACTTGATTATTTTGAGGGTTTCAGTACCATCGACATAGGTATACTTTCAGAGTAAAAAGTACAAGCAAAAGACAATTAAAATAAATATCGTAGTGCAGTTTATTCTCCGGCTGTGCCGGAGAACAAACGCATCTTAATTCTGGGGGTAATGTCCGAAAATGCCAGTGTTTGTTTCATCGTCTCAACTTGGGTAAACTCACAGCTGGTACGAAATCATCCCTCTTCCCCACGCCTCACTTGAGAAGTTCAGTACCACGCAAAGAAGTCGAAATTAAGAATTAAAGCAGTGACGACGGTGACGCTGGGGACAACGCCAAGTCAAAAAAAATGACCTTTGAATAATTCAATTGTGAAGATCTGTTCAGTTCGTCTATCAGTCTAAAAATTTGCTCAGTTTACTTATGTAATGACAGAGTTCAGTTGCAAAAGAAAATACGACAAATTAGGCGTGGCGGTTCACCTGCTTTAAAATACGCATAACTTTGTTATTTCAAGTTTGTTTAGCGGATAACGGCTAAGAAATGTAACAAGAATCAAAACGCACGTGTTACTGCTCATTAGAGGTGGACGATTTGACCTTTAAGTGGTGTGTGGGTTAGTTAGTACAGGGACGAGACGTGTGTATGTATGATATTTTTTTCTCCGTTTAACATGCGCTTTCTTTCGGCTAACTTAACGTGCGTAAATTTTTTTCGGCAGTGATCGTGTGCATGAATTTTTTGGTACAAGTATGGCTGCAGGATATTTGTTTTAAAAAGACCCACTTCCGCCCCTCAAAAGTGAAATGGTCCATCCCTTAGGCCTTTTGTTCTGTGACATTCTATATTAGCGTTGCCGTCGTGGTTTCCTTTAATTTCCCTATTTCTCCTGTTTTATGCGATGCGTATGGCTCACGGATTCACAACCATAGATTACACCTAGGATGTTCGTCAGATGAATGAAGCCGAATGACGCTCTACACTGGCGCGTTCGCCATCTCATAAAATTCACCGTCCTTCTCAGCTTCGTCTTCGTCCTCGTAGGACTCTTTGAGCAAAATCACCAATCTGTAAATAAGTAAGGACAACGCCATAGCGTTCTTGCCAGTGAAGAAGATATGCAATGTAGCTTTAACATCGTACACAATGATTAACACCAGGCGCACGATCAGAAACGGCCCGTCTTGCATCAACATTAAAGTCAGTATTGAGTATAAGTCACCGTGAAGTTTAAGTTTCTGTTTTTGCTTGATGTGATTTTCAAGGATTTCTTCCTCTCGTCTGACTTCTCTTTGTACCTGTACAACTTCTAACGCTGTATCATGGATAGAGAATCTTGCTTGTCGTCCGCGATCTTTGTAAGCCTTGAGTTGCTTGAGCTGTTTCATTTGATTGACCGCAGCACGTAAATCAGTGTTTTTTTCAATCTTGTCCAGCTCGTCTTTCTGCTTCTGTCTAATGAGCTTTTTAATATACTTTGGTAACTTGGTCTGACCGCCACTTCTTGATTTCTCTGTTTTGTTTTCCTCTGCAAATGGCGACTACAAATTAAAGTAGAAACGAAACGGTCGTTTACACAAGCTGACTGGCAAACATAGGTGTAGTAAATATCTAACACTCTCCGTGCGCTCAATCAGTTCCCCGCTCGAGAAGTACTGGGATTAGCCCTGGAAAAAATTCCATACTGATGACGTAGCTCTAACAGGGTCACACCTAGTCTCTGATTGATTGTTCCTCAGGTTTGAATTTTCCCGCATAAGAAAGGACCAATAAGAGACACTAAAGTTATCTCTGTACAGCTACGTCTTCAGCATGGAATATTTAGGGTCCATGCAGTCTCATGGAATTTTCGAGTCCAGCCTCAGGCTTTTTTTGGAGCAGAGGAAGAATGGCCAGTTTACAGTACGGTTGGAACCCGTTAATTGGAACTCGGTTATTTCGAATTCCCTGTTATTTCATACTCAAATCTGTTCCCTTGGATTCCCCCTTTAGTCATTTACTATCGCTTTTTCTAACTCCCTCTATTTCGAACGATTTTTTGCTTACCCTGCTGGTTTGAAATAGCGGGGTTCAACTTTATATTCAGGCGGATGTCAGTGCGTGACTTTATTACATACCTTTGTCTCCAGTTTTTTGTCGTCCGGGACAGTTTCTGCTGTGGCAGTGAACACAAGAGTGAACTGCATAAAGGACCAGGTGTATGTCGCGAGTACCGCTAAAGCCACTCCCTTTACACACCACAGTGCAGGTTCCTGATCGAACACCTCAAAGAGTTCTGAAATAGAAGTGCAAAGAATCAGTACCAGGAGCAACCTTCCGAGAATATCTACACAGAAAATGGACCATCTCCAAGAAGCTTAAAACACAACCGCCGGCATACGCTTAAATGTTCTGCAATTACCCCAGTCATCATATAACCACTACCAGTCATTAAGCAATAGATCCTTCTGATAATATAAGTATGAGGGAAAAACTTTCTGCCTTTCAACGCGTAACATAAGAACACTTTAACTGTTGTTGTACGATCTGCAAGCACACCCTTTCTCTAGGAAACCTTGTTAACAGAAATAATAAACATGACAAAACAACGCATGTTTCTCCTTGTTTCTCAGGGTCTTAGTAGACCGTAATCACATCGACATCTAGATTTCTTAGAACCAAAAAGTCAAAATGTTGTGCCTCGATAGAGCTCTTGCGTCATCAGTTTTAGGGAAGACGCCTTATTCTCCAGCGTTTTTTTCCACCGAGTGCTCAGTGTACACGTGACACATGTGTCTGTTGATAACTTACCCATAATGTCAGCGGCATTCGCCACATACACTAGAAGTAAAGAGGATAGTTGATCACGTGTTAGTTCTCCTCTCGGAAGCAGCCATCGACCTACGATGATCAGTAGGATAAGGCCAAGCTTGGACCACTTCTGTGCCAACTGTCCAGAATCTGTTCTGATAGTTATCTAATAAAGAAGATGAAGTACAGTTCAGCGAGTATTGTACCACCATTAAATTGATTTGGAAGAGGGTCAGCAGATCGAGCAGTCGATCTTTGTCTTCAGCTACGTTGATCTTAGTATTTCTGCAGCGAGAAGCGAAAGCGAGGAAAATTGAGGGTGGCTACGTGCTATCTATGAATTTTCCATTAACGTCATAAAATTGATGTTTTGATTCAGTTTATGCCAAAACCATCGGGGGATTTCAGATTGAATCGCGATCTTTTTTGCTCTCTAGAGCTATGAGGGTCATGTGTAATAGAAACTAGTATATTTTGAAGAACAAATGTTAACGTACCAAACCTCTGCCAATAGTGAAATCACTTTTTGCAGCAATTAGTTCACAATTATCCACACCAGAAGCGGTCTTTTCTTCCAAGATGGCTAACTCGGCAACCCAAATAGCAGGTAACACTGTTGTCATGTACAATAAACTGCCGGGCCAGATACTAAAATAGGACACAAGCAGAGAGGAAGATTATAAGTACAAAAGAAGCACAATGCCATTCAAATTATTTTGAGACAGACTTTTCGTTTTACAAATTCCAAATTTTACCACTGCCCTCAATAGAGATATAAAACATATAGAGATATAAAACCTAGAACCAAATTTCACGACAAGGTCTAAGAAAGAGAGCCTCAATTTATGCATTTGTCTCTTAGACCGAGGGCAATTACGAAAGGATGTTTTGGGCAAGTGTGAGAAAAACAGTTCTAAAACCTTCTAAGGCGCCGTTGTAAACCGGCCGGATGGAGTGGTCAGGCGAGTCAACGTTCTGTCCGTCCAGGAGTTGGACCGGGGTCATTGTATTGTACTCTACAATCTTGGACAGTTTCAATGAAAAATTAAGACCACAACCCCNCCCCCCTCCCCTCATTTTAGTGATGGAAAATATGGCGCGTTTTGGGTTTAGTGCAGTTCCTCATTGATCCGGGGGGAGGATAGGGGTATTTTATTCTAACCAAGATTGTAGATCAGAAGCCAGGTACTTTTCACGCAGTCTCTATCCAAGTCCTTTCCGTGCAGAAGTATAAATGTCGTGGTGAATCAATGATGAACTGTTATGGACACTTGGCAGAATCTGGGAGGAAATTTGCGGTAAACTAGCAGCCCATTCAACGGTAGCAATACTTCTCTTATTTTGAATTTTCGAAAACTATTTCAATTGTAAGTATAACTTTCAATTTTTATTATCTTTTTTTCTCTGTCTGTTTATCACGTTACATACAAACGCCCTATTACACTAATCCGCATCATGTTAACATCTTGTTCTAAATGGTAAAAAAAAAGCTTCCACAGCGAGAATTGGAACATGTGAGCTGGCAAAGATTTTGTCTCTGTAGCCAGTCAAGTGCAAAATTAAACCCAGGCTTGTAAAGTTTTTGGCGTGCTTTGCAATCGCAACATGTCGTTCTCTAGTTTTTAGTTGGTTCACTGCACTAAACTGGCTTTAGTTAAAATATTGGTTAACACGCCACTCAAGTATGACCACCATAAATTTCCTCACAACCTTGGCACACAAAAATTAAAACTGTTCCGATCAGTGTATGATAGACAATGTTAAGCAGCAGTTGTGATCATCAGACATTGAGAACGCGGATTTGTTCGGTTCAGGTATTGACGCTGCGTTCTAGCTTGACTTAATATTTCAATCTGTCCATTTTGTTTCCCGATATTATGTTATCATATTAGAGGACTTTGCATAATGATATGTTTATTGTTCCTAATGACGAAGTCAGTATCAATTCAAACACTTGTTCGTCAAAGTCAAGAAATGGCAATTCCACTAAGTTCACTGAGCAGTGTAAAATGTCTAAAATGTCGAGATCAGAAGTTATGCAGCTAAACTACAAAAATAAAGAGCGATCTATAAACATTTTTGGTTATCGCCTTAAATCAGAAAAGCTTTTTTAGTTATATATTGCACAAGTGTTTCTGACTAAATATAATTTCCTCGTGCTTTTTTTGCTGTTATAAATTCATTTGACCGAAAGCATTTTTAAGTTAGTTCTCTCAGCGGTAAACGGCGCCACCATCACACACTTGACTTTTTTAGACGTCCAATGTCATAAGTTTTATACGGTGGTGTGTTTTACGACCACTAAAGCTCACTTGTATTTATAAAATCTCATCAAATTTGCCATAAAAATTCTGCCGATAAACGTAAAGAAAACCATGGCGAAACTGAGATTCACAGAACTTTTCTGAACCATTTAAAACCGTTCAAAAACATGCTCAATTTCGGTATAAAAACTTTTCATAAGGTTAGGAAAAGAACCCTGGTGTTTTGACTGACTGCTAATTATTGTGTAACACTCTATTTGCTGCTTTCACAACCACAGGGTAATGAATATCATTCAGATAATGACCTTGTGATCCGTAGGGAGCCATTCAAGCTAATATTTCCTAAGAATTGATCGCGGTAAAACAGTTCAAAATATAGAGTTAATCCTAGGAAGGAATGTTGGAATCTAATTAGACGAGGTTTCCTGAAGTTGGAATGATCCGTTGAAGGATTTCATCCAAAACCAAGTTAAGCTTTCTGCGAGTTAATAAATATTCAAATTCATTTGCCATCAAGCATGTTGAGTGAATGCAAACAACAGTGTATGTCTGTCCAAGTTTGCTAGAGATTTAGTTTGGCTTGTTTTCCGAACAAGGACAAACACACCGCATTGCGACTGCTTATTTGGGGGAAAACGCTCCGAAGCCTGAGAGAACATAAACAAAAACAGCACAGATGTACTTACTATTTATACTCTTGCCCTTTCCGAATGACGATTGTGTAAAACGATTCAACGAGTAGAAAGAACAATCCCGTACATAGCCACCAGTAGACCGGATCGTTCTTGTATTGAACCACAAGATATACGCTTATTCCTCCGTGAACAAGGAATATGACCCTGGTAAAAATCCCGCTGAAGAACGTAAAGAAAACCATGGCGAAACTAACACCAGACAAGATGACTTCCTTAGAAACACGATCCTTCGGTATGTAGCGATGCGTGAGTGATCTCGCGTGATTTACATGTTGATGTTTGTGACTCCATGGTTTCGACATTAATAGCTTTGTATGTCACACCCGTCTTTGATTGACATGCCTGTCGGTATTCATTCTTTGTTGACACGCGGAACAAAAAAGAAATAATTCTACATTCCTTTGAAGACAAGTTCCGATATGTCCATTGCATTCCTCAGTCCCCTTTTGAGTAAGAGATTTTATAATTAGTTTCGCTGCGTAATCTTGACACGTAACAATCGAAGACTTCGTGTGACCACTTTTTTTCTAATTTCCATACATGCTCATTTACTTTGCTTCAAGCAGAATGTCTACGTTTTCGTTATGCTCCAGCCAACAATTTTTACTTCTCTCTGGTCTTAATAAAGTGTCTGGATGTGTGTTTTAAAATAATTGCCCAAAATGACTCGGTTCGTATTGACGTCAGTTGAGCAAATGACGTCACACAAGGCGGGTTTTCCGCTTTGAATACCAGCCACTGTCCATGAAAGGAGCCTGCGCACCTCTCACGAACTAACGTACGGAGGTCAACTTTGTCTATCAAACCGAAATATTGGGTTAAATGCAATTCTCCGCTGTTTGATCAGCAAAGACAGATGAGCGCCTCTGAAAAACTGTACCGAGGGCTTACTGTGGCAGGCCAGATCAGCTATGCAGCTTTATAAAGTTTATAAAGTTTGTTTATTGTGCCCAGTGCTGATGGTGATCTCAGTTCACAAAGTTTCAGCTTTTATTTGCTCTTGTTTGTTTTGATCTAGTGGATGAGTGCAGTTATAAGTTTTCTTTTTTCCCGAGACATCTGTGAGCTCGCAATGATCCTCGTAAGTCGGAAGTTAGCCTGCGTAGCTGGCGGGAAATCGCGCGCGAGTGCTTTTGTTTTGCCTGCAAAGCCGTGGCTCTGCCACCAAAAATCAGTCCCTCGCGAATCCCACCATCTACGCAGACTAGTCGGGGGTCGGCTGGCGTTACAAGCTGGTCTTACTGTGGCCAGTCCGAGTCACTTTTAATTTGATCACATTTACAATGTGAAGGTACTGGTAGCAGAAAAGGAGAGGCAGAGTGAAGAGAACAAAATATTAATTTAAACTGCAATTTCTAATAAGTTTACCGATAAAAGTCACCAATGATTGAGGACCAAAAAAAAGTCCAGAACAGGTATCTGTGTCAGTTCGACGAGGAATCAACTAACTATAGGGGTTGTGCTACAGGAAAGATTTTATTTCTTCTACCAGAGCTTTTTGAAATTACATAGATACCATCTAACTTTAGAGTCCCTCAGTGGCGACCTCTCTTTCAACGAGCCTATAGGCCGAACAAGATCCTGGGAACAAGTGGCTGAGTCTCTTAGCGATTGTAGCCACACTCTCCACCAGTTTCTTCTCGGCCCGTCCAGCCGCGGTCAGACCCTATTGGCCGGAGCCTGTTCACAGGTTAGAGAGATTGCTAATCCATGTTTATCGGTTTTCGTTATTGATCAGATAAAAAGTAGCGAATTTTAGTGACCCATTTACTGCTATTGATTAAAATCAAGAATCCAACACATGCCAGCCGAGAAAAAACTACTGTAGTGACAAAAATCAGAATCTAGAAATAGTCGCTAAATTTAGGTAAAACCAAATCGATAAATTTAGATGCCGTTTGCTTCTATTCCAGAATGGTTAGCAGCCTTTTAAAAATGTCAGTCGAAAAAAGGAGATAGGAGAGAGCGGACGGGGTTCACTAAAATTCATATTGATACAGGTCACTGAATTCAAATGTAAATGCGCGAAGGTTTCAATCATATATTCCGTGAATAAATATGGCTAAAATAACCATAATGCGATTTTTTTGTGAGTAAAATTATTTGCTAGAATTGTCTCACTGCAGATTTGCAGATCGCTAAGACGCGTTTTAGAACAAGCTGCCCCTAGATCTATTTTCTAACACTTTATTTTACGCGCAGACTTGAAAAAGAAAAACATATCCAAGATGCATATTAGGTGATATGGGGGCGTCGTAATTTTGTTTCATTGTTGTTTCAGATAATAAGCGCTTGAAGCAAATTGCGTGGAAGTGATTGGAGAGAAGATCTTGATTTAAATCAACAAACTAGAAAACATCCAATAAAATTATTTATATTTGGACTAATTTTCATTGTATGTTTTCTATAGATCAGTCTCATTTCATAGACTTGGCTCTGGATTGTTTGAATATTCGAAATGCGACGTTGTTTTTTGTGTAAACATTGAGCACTGAAAGTCTTTTCTTTCCATGAATTATAATTTGGTTATAAACCTGGGCAGGTGCCAAACGTGACAGCGAATCAAATTAGCATATATGAAGCAGCTGCTTGCCATTGTGTCATTCGTATTTCAACACTTCAAAGTAATTTCTGATTTGCATTTTGCGTTTTGTTATTGCATTGGAAACGGAGAAATCAAATTTACAAAGGCTCTTTCATAACCGAGATTATTCAACGTTTGGCACAGAAAAAGCTTCATTCTGACAAGTTGCGCCAATTGTAAAACTCCAGCACCATAAATCATTGTAAGTATTTTCTTGATCTCGCTGAAAAAGGAATATTGGAAGGCGAATTTTTTAACTGAATTTACTGCCACGAGGCATGGAAACATCCGCTGCAGGCCACGCACATTATAATTTGGTGCAATTCAACTTGCGCTTTGCCGCGTCCATACTGTAAGATCATTACTAGCGCGAATATTTTAGGGAGAAGAATATATTACTTATTGAGAGTGCGTTCGCTCAAGGCGTCATTTGATGCGAAAATTATTCAAAATTCTCTTCCGTAACCTAGTTGATATGCGCATATTTTAGAAAAAAAAATGAATCGTAAAGAGTAACAGTATTATTCCTGGTCCGATTATTTATTCTTCTCTTGCTAACTTTTCATTCTATCGGGACAGATTCGAAGGAAAAGTTTGCGCTCGCGAAGAAAACCACTCAACTATGAACAAGTCTTCGGAAAAGAACCCAAAAGTTCTTGTGAAAAGCTCGGCAAAAGGACGAGGAGGCAAGGACGTCGAGATTCGTTCCAAAAAACATAAGAATGAACTGCATATATTGAAAATGTCACAAGAATGGGATTTAAGGAGGCAGCAGAGACGCTTGGATCGCCAGAAGTGGGTGGAAGAGCGAAGAAACCAGAAGTTACCTATCTGGCAGCGAGTTGGTAACCTTAGAGTCCAAGCGAACGAAAAAGAGATTTTGCGGGGAACTGACAATGAACATGTAAACAAGAAGGAACATACCAAAAATTCAAATGAGGGTAGTCAAGATGGCATGACAAATGACGAGAAAGTAAAGGTAAAAGTGAAACAAACTGTCGCAGTACCGCCTGCCGAAAGCGATCCATTTCGCTTCAAGTGCTCGCGTTTATCTGAGCTCATTCAAGAAACGTACAGTCCAAACCAGAAAAGCCATTTATCTGACGAGATTCAGTTTATCAAAACTGAACAGCAGAGAACAATGAAACAGCCCTTACAGTACAACATCAACACACTACAATCATCAAATGTCGCCGCGACACAAATCACTGGACAAGTTTCGATCACAACTTTTAACAGCTCGTCAAAGGTAAGGTAGTTTTAAATTTCCTTCAAGTTTCAGAAGGCCTATTTACACATGCGTGCTGCTTGTAGACACAATGATCAATACAAGCTGGTTAATATTTGCATACCAGTTCCTTGTTGCCAAAACATAACACAGTTAAAAATTATGCGTAAAAAGCCGACTTTCAATCCGTACCTAATGAGAAGTTTTGATTTTTCAGATTACAAGACAGCTGTATTTCTGCGGATGAATTAATTTCATTTCAGCTCAAAGACTTAAAAAACGATAAACCTTTTGAGTTTGAGGTATTTCGTCGTTGCTTTTGGTTCTCGCGAACAAAAGAGATAAAGGTTGTCTGTTTTTCTTTTCAGTTGGTACGTTTTATTTAGTTTGAAATTTCGGAGGAAACTGAAAATTCGACTTATAACCGTGAAGCCTTTACTATACATATAAAAATAAATTGATCAGACCAGATCACCGCTAAGATAATGCATTTGTAGTGATGATTCAATCGTTTCTCTTGCCATGTCCCCAAAGCCTAAGGAAGGCCAAGATCTCCGAGGTATAGCCGACGTATTACTATTAGCTTATGCCACAATAGCTATTGTATATAGAGATATTTTTATTTCCTTTTATAGTTTTGCGAAACACGTGTTATAACGCAGCGTAAGACAATATTTTGCTAGAATCAGAATATTTTCGAAACAAAAAGAAATTCATAATTAAAAAAATTATACTCCCCTTTACTTTCGACGATGTTTAGTATTTGTACGTTAATGTTGTAACTATGAATTTTGTCGTGTTTCATGTCGAATTTTCAGAATGTTTTGCAGATTGAAATTAATATTTTAGTGAGAAAGTACGATGCTTTTAGTTAATTTCTCCAAGGAAAAAACATCGGACATCATGTGACTGAGTTACACAAAACATTGATTCTGAAATCATGAAAAGTAAACTGATATTTCCAAGCGATGCGCAAGTGGAATATTTCCGTAGAGACAAATATTCTGGTGTTTAATCGATTTTATGATTATTATTAATATCATTATTATTGTTATTATTATCTTCTGACAATAAACACCTCAGTCATGATACCCATTTGAACTTAAATTAGGAATTTCATTAAAACAGATCTGAAAGAGCTCGCCACTGAGACTTGAGAATTGATAACTTTAGTCATCTTAGTCGAGCACAGAGATTCAAATGCGAAGACAATGGCAAATACTCAGATTTTGGAAGAAAAAAGGCCACGCTGTGATCTAAGTAAAAAATCCACACGGTGAAGAATTCCTCCCGCGGGGTAAATTGTTGTCAAGTTTGGCCATTTTATCTTAATCTATTCTAATTTTCGCTGTTGGTATATTAATGATCAGTCTTCCTTTCCTGCAAGTTGGGTTTATTTGTTTTTTGAGTGCAGTTGTACAAACTCGAACTTTTTTCTCGATTTTCTGAGAATTGATCTTTAAATGGAAATTTGAATTTATATCTCTTTGCGAATTAGTTGATCTTAAGAAATGATAAAATCCATACACCTTATCTGATGGTTTAAAAATAATTGTACACGTGGATATTTTGACAGCGCGGTGAATTTGTATATATCAACTGCTTTAGATGCAAATTTATTATGCTGAATTCTTTTTGAACTACAAAATTTGAGCGAAAGTTCATCGCCAATCTGTATTCTTAAGTCAGAGCATTAGTACACGCGCAAAAAACGAACATAAATAAAAACCAATACAGAGAAAAAGTCGTATACTACGGGTGGTGTGTTAAATCATCGAGTTGATTCTATGCACGCAGATGAATTATCCTTAGTCTGTAATCTTGGGTTTTTCTTTCCTTTCAATTTTAATTTTAGTCTCGGAAAGTCTGTAATTTTGCTGTCTTCTGTGTTTATGACTCGTAGTTAGGAATTTGCCCGATGGAAATAAATCTCGGACATAACATTTTACTACTTACGACAAAACGTGTTTAATTTAAGGTTTCTCAAAACTGAATATTTCGCTCAATATTTAACGTATTCCTCCCGGATTTGCCACACTGGAAAAAGTAATTGCACAGTCGCAGTGGGTGTATCTGCAAATTTGTTTAAGTAAATATAATTGCCAATGCTAATTTGGAGATAAAAGTCGCACTTTTAACTTTGGGTTATTCTTACAGTCTCCAACAAGGCAAGACAAACACGAGCGACAGCAGTATGAAAGCAAACCGTCTGCGGATAAAGGTACATTTCTCATAATCATTTGTCAGCCTTATTAAAAAACTTCATTCCTGAATGGTCGTTTCGTTGCTTTATCAACAAGGCAAAAACCATGTGCGCTTTAACGCATGCTGTCAATTCTTATTCATGTAACTATCACAACCAAGAGAACCCTTTTATGAACGGAGTAAATGTCGATGCCCTGAAAAAAAAAATGCTAGTCTTCCGTCGGGTAAAGTGTTCTGATATGAGGTACTACATTAAACAGCTTTTATTTAAATATGCAGAAGGGAAAGCTACCCGCAGCCCGAGAGGAGAGGGGCACGGATGTGGATCTCCACAAAATATGTCGACAACTGAGGGGTTAAGAAAAGACAGGAAGCGAAAATTGGATGCGGTACTAGTCGAAGACGATACGAGGCCGACGGTGAGTTGCTTTCTCTAAGTCCATTTGTTCAATTTTGAATGGACTCGTAATTGGTTGCACCATATTTTGCGTGTTCTATGTACATGTACACACACAAAAGTGACAATTGGTATTGAAATGAACCAAAGAGTTGGAACTGCACGCGCTAATTTTGAATATCTAAATATAGCGATCAGAAAATTCCTTTCGAGTGCAACGCTAACATTGAATTCTGGTCAGCGTTCAGGTGTTAAGGTCTGTGGTAATACACTATAGATGCCTGGGTCTCGATGGTCCTCGATGTCCTCTACCTTTCTCGTGGCCCTCTCTCCACTAAGTACAAATGCAGGAGAGCAGCAAAGATGTTATGATGGACTAGTGTCTTTTTCACGGGAAATACTCCGGCTCTAGATACTTTAATTGCAAGCCACTGTGTGGATTTGAATTACTGGCCTATCACTAAAATACGAAACAGACGCATTTCAAGAACTATCCTCTTACAAAACCCATTTTCAAATTCCGTTTTTGCGTATCGAAGGACGTTTCAAGGCAAAAGAATGATTTGACTTGATCTGAAGGCTCTCTGTTTTCAGATTAGCATTGAAGTATTTAATTACCGGTAAGTAAAAATGAAAGAGACAAAATGGCTAACCGTTTTCATTTGAAAGTAACTGAAACGTTTATGAATAAAAACACTTCTAGTCAATCAAACACGCATTATAACATTTCATATTATGTTATTATTTTCTATTGCTTTAGCCTAAACTCATGTGCGTTGATAAACCGACAACTTTAGAGACTCTTGAAAGAGCAAATGGGGTAAGTAAAACTTGCAAATAATGCAATACTTTTGCTCTTTCATTAGACTGTGATTATTAAAAAAGTTTTTTTTTCCCAGCTAGAACGTCCTCTATTTATAAACTTAACATTGTTACGTTAACATGAATTCTCCAAGGTAATCTAATTCATTCTGGCGGCAACATTTTGAGGGTTTTTAATTCTTTTCCGCCCGCTTCTTTCATCGGTGTCATGATCAAGAACCGTTTTCACTTCCCTTTTCAGGAAGAAAGGTGAAACCAGTCTAAGTGTCGCTGAATTAAATTGGATTTTAAAGTTTGGAAAGTTCTCGTAAAAAATAAAAACAAAAACAAAAACAAAACGAAACAATATGTAGTTTTGACGACTTTTTTTGATGGGTCTGACAGAATGCCAACAACTTCAAAATACGTCTTCGATTTGGGAATACCAACATTTTAAAATTAAAATTTATTCCCATTTTATCAGGAATTGCGATAGCTACTAGATCCCACTAGTAACATAAAACCCAGAATTTCCTTGTTTCACGCTGTTAATATGCAGAGAACACAATAAGAAACTTTCCAACACACAAATTTAGTGAGTCGATTTAATATACCTTTATTTAGAATTCTGCTTTGGGATATTCTAATTTAATTAACATTTTACTTGAGTTTATACACTGTGCATTAATTACGTAACCGAAACGTTTTTATTGTCAAGTTGTTCAGAGAGATGTAACCGCACGTCGTGTTTTGTACACGGTTGTAGGTTGTAGCTGGTTGTCGCTCGTTTTCCGAGCTCGGCTTTCGCGTCTGAGGGCAAAAAAGCGAACAAAAAATCATAGAACAAACGGAGCTTTCTTGACTTCACTGACCACTTCCCTCTAGTAACTATGACGACTCTATGACTAAGTGCACACTTCTAGCACTATAAACTTCGTTTCCGAAAAGAATTTTAATTTTTCGATGATGCTGTGTGCGTGCCATATCGTGAGAAGTTTCCCATCAAATTTGCAACCTCTCGCTTCAGTGTTTTTTCCAGCGACATTGAGGTAATTAATAGAAGTTTGCCTAGTTCCTAGCTAGGCTTTGATATGTCGCCTCGGTCAGTCGTTCTCAGGTCATGTGGTCCAAGGCGAAAAGTGTGACGTCACCGACATCGATTGACCGTGAAGGCCTGGAAGAAAGCCGTACAGGAATTGGGCAAGATAGACGTCACTCCTCGTCCCTCCTTTGACCTTTGATGTCCTGTACGTCTTGGCTTGTCAGGAGTCTTAAATAATTCTTAGTTTGATAAAGTATTTTCGCTTTTTATCAATATTTTCTGGCAGGTTACTTCATCAAATTCCGTGAACAATCCCTCTACAATGATGAGACACAGCCGCGGAGGACTGGATCAGAGCGTACGAGGTATGTAAACATCGGCAGCACTTTCCCGTCCCTCTCCTCCCATATCAAAATAGCGATGGATATCAAGAGACCCTCGATGGGAGAGAGGGGTTGATTTTAAGTGACACAATAAAAAAAAGTAGAGACTTCAAAGAATAATTTTACCCATTTTCAACAATTTTGGAATTCACTGCTTTCGCGAAGCTCCAATAACACAAGTAGTTATGCAAAGCTGTCTTTTTGATTTGGTTGTTAGTTCTACCTTATAAATTTATGACGTTTTACTTAGCTTGTGGCAAATGTGAACTTATTAAATAGACTTTTTCCAAAGAGTTACATGACTCATTTGAATTGATGCTGTTTCTTGTCAGCAGGAGATGAAAGCATGCCGCGGATAAAACAATGCTACTCCTTGCATGACAGTCGAGAAGATGACGTCTCGTTTGCAAAAAAGTCACAAAGCAAATCCACGCCACTTGCCGTTACCATGACATCACCAGTAACTATGACAACCACGCCTTCCTCTAAAGGGCTACCGTCAGTAACGGTGGATCCTGGCTGTATTGTTTACATATCAAAATCGGCGGCGCAAACTCCCTCTCCTGGCGCCAGTCTCCCTCCTCGGGCTGGCTATCTCTTGCCTGTTTATAAACCGGACACTAGAGAAGCTGCTTATGCATTTTTGCCAGCTGGTGCCCAGCTTCCCAATCGAGTGGGGGACAAAGCGGGCTTGGAAACACGTGCGTTACAACGCAAAAATGACAGCTGTACAACAGTTGCAAGTACGAGCACGCACTCTCATCCGCGTCCTCATTCGACAAAAGGTTCAAAAGAGACAAGTATTGCTAGCCATCTTGACAAAGCGAAGTTTGTTCTACACTCCCAACCTCAGTCCACTTCATACAAAGACAACACGCCACAGAATGCAAGAGTACATTCTGGTTATGAATCAAGCGCGGGTGTGAGTGTCACGTCAGCAAATCCTTCACGACCTGATTCAGGTAATATTAATGGCGACTTAAGAGGAGGTAGTGGAAATAATCACGTGGTTAATATACCGCACACACATGGGCAACATCCTAAAGCAACCATTTACGTTGGTAACCCGCGAATTTCAAGAGAGGATGTAACTGGCTCACCGCTGCCTCAAGATGACAAAAACTCAATCGCGCCATCAGATAAACTTCATTATCCAGCCGTTTGTCGCACACCAGAAGTTGTACCAAACCCAGCGCCAAACACTCAAGAAGGCATTTTCAACCCGATGGCCTTGTATGTTAGGCCGAGATTGGTTCCCAGGGAGGTAGTGTCGGTAAATCACGCGACAGAACCCAGTCCCCCACTCGTGGAGTACATAAAGACTGATGCGATATGCGATAAAGAGTTGACTAAATGGGACGCCAAAAACGTGGCGGATTTTATCGCAGCAACTGACTGTAGGGATAAGGCGGAACTGTTTCTGGAAGAGGTTTGTACCAAATGATCAAATCCTCTAGTCATCAGCTAGCGTCTACAAATAATTTCATAAATTAAGCAAATTTTTTGTTAATTTTCTTGCTTTACTAGTGTATCACGCTTAACCGATTATGCCACCAGCCATAGTTCTACAGAGAACAATGTCTCTGATTGGTTATTTCTTACGCGCGAAAATTCAAAACCGAGAAACAACCAATTAGAGACACTGCTTGGATCTCCGTAGGGTTAAGTCATCCGTAGGGAATTTTCATGCCCAGTCTCAAGCTGAGAAAGAATTAAGCGTTTGGGGAGAAGTCTTTTCAATACGCCAGCGAATTAACATTAGATTTAAAGTCAGATTATCCCAGCTTATCCTGAAACAGTTGTACCGTGACTAGTAAGGAGAATTTGTTCGTCAATTCGAGGACGCAATGGGTCATAACTTGGTATTAGAATAACCTTAGAAGTGTAATGAAAACCTTCTATTTTTCTCTTGTTTTGCAGGAAATTGACGGCAAAGCTCTGCTTTCACTATCCCCAGAGATATTAATGAAAGGAATGAACTTGAAGCTTGGACCTGCTGTAAAACTCTATAATCATATCGTAAATCTGAGAGCAGCACTGTCACTTTAAGCTTTGTTGCATTTTCCAAGCGAAGCACATATTTTGCTAGTTGTATTGGTAAATAATTACTCACTTCATACAAAGCATTTCTTTATACATGTGTCGGAAACACACCTTCCGTCATCTTGATGTCGCTGACGTCGTTACGTGCTATTTATTTTATATATTTTGTATGATTCATGATTATTATATATTGATTATTAAAGAAATGTGCGTCAATCAAGTTGCTTCTGTTTATCCCACTGGGGAAATGTTCTCTGAAAAACCCGTGATCCCGCAAAATTCTGGGAGCGAGAAGCGCACGAAGGGAGGGACCAGACAGACAAAGCTTCTCGCCCCTAGGATTTCGCGCCGCCATTTTTTTCTCGCGGCTTAAGGTTACAGTATACCTTCGGGTCGGCAATTTTCTTCAAATTTGGATTTTTGGGTCAAAATAGTGGTCGAAGAATAATCTCTAATTTCTGAAAA